AGTGGGTGTCTTAGGTAGGGTTTCTGTTGCTGTGAAGAGACACTATGACCATGGCAACTCTTAGGAAACATTTAATTGGGACTGGCTTACAGTTTTAGAGATTAGTCTGTTGTCGTCATAGTGGGCAGCATGGCTGTGCACAGGCAGACATGGTGCTGCACAAGGGGCTGAAAGTTCTACACCTGGATCTACAGGCAACAGGAAGAGAGAGATCCTGGGCCTGGCTTGAGCATCGGAAACCTCAAGGTCCACCCCCAGTGACACCCTTCCTCCAACAGGCCACACCTCCTAATGCTACTTCCCAAGCATTCAAGTATGAGTCTGTGTGGGCCATTCTCATTCAGACACCACAGTGGAGGTCTTGGCATGTGTCATCTAACTTGTTTATTTGTTTTGATAGTCTCATATATCCCAGGATAGCTTGAAATTAACTATGTAGGGGAGAGTGACCTTGAACTGACCCTACCCCCTCTACCTCTAGACTGATTACAATCTGAGATTACATGATGTGCCATCATGGTAGCTTGCTGTGGTGCTAGGGATCAAATCTAGGGCTTTGTACATAATAAGTATCTACTACATCCCAATCCCTGCTTTTCTTCCTCCCTCCCTCCCTCCCTTCCTTCCTTCCTTATTATGTATACAGTGTTCTGCCTGCAGGCCAGAAGAGGGCACCAGATCTCATTATAGATGGTGGTGAGTCACCATGTGGTTGCTGGGAATTGAACTCAGGAACTCTGGAAGAGCAGTCAGTGCTCTTAACCTCTGAGCCATCCCTCCAGTCCGCTTTTCTTTTCTTTTCTTTTTCTTTTTTTTTCAAGACAGGGTTTCTCTGTGTAGCTCTGGCTGTCCTGAAACTCACTCTGTAGACCAGGCTGACCTTGAACTCACAGAGATCCGCCTGCCTCTGCCTCCTGAGTGCTGGGATTAAAGGCACATGCTTTGCCTGGCCTTGCCTTTGTTTTCTTAATTAAAAACATTTATTTTTCTTGAGATAGTGTTTTGTTATGTGGTCCAGACTGGCTTTGAACTCATGATCCTTCTACCTCAGCCTTGCGAATATCCGTCATGCCTATCTTTCTTTGTTTTTGAGACAAGCTCTCATTGTCTAAGCCTGTCTGGTCTTCTGGTTGCAATCTCCTCTCCACCTCTCTAGCACTGGCATTAGTGGCATTACCATGCGCTTGCTGCTTCCTTCCTACTTTTTAGGCACATGTTATGCCCAGGCCTGCGTGAATCCCTGTGTAAATCCCCTCTGCAGCTATTTAGACGTGAGAAAATTCAGAGTGTTTGTGGAGAGCCACACTTTATGAGCTCAGAAAGTGGAGCCCAGGTCCGTCTGACTCAAGAGCCGCTGAACTCAGCCAACCGCTCATTCACCCATGTGTTGGGTGATTACTATGGAGTGCTTGTTGTGTAAGCCAACTTGGACACCTCCCCTGCCTTGTGGTGTGTGTGTGGGAGACAGACACAGAACAAAGGAACCTCCCAGGTAGGTATCAAGGTCCCACGCTGCCTGGACCTCAGGGTGAGGAGAGGCTGCTCGCTTCCTCCCTGCACGAACAGTCTGCCTGCCTGAGTGGTGCCAGTCTGAACCTGCCCTGCCGTTGGAAGTGATAATTTCCTCACAGCCACAAATGTCGATAATCATGCACAGGAAACTTGCTGCCCGCTGGAGCCTCGGCGCCTTGGCCACCCCAATTACAAAAAGGGAGGGGACACACGTGAGACCAAGTTTGTGGGGAACCCACTGTTTCTGTGGCTTCCCTAGATGTGAAGCCACAAACTGCTGACCTGAGGGGAAGTCTGGCTGCTGTGGGGAGAAAAGACGCAGATATGTGGGAACTGGACAAGCTGTGGCAGTTGGGGCTCGGGGCCCTGAGACTGGAAACACAGCCCTGCCAGGTTGGAAGTTCACTTGTTATGCGTATTTTCAGACTTGTGGCCTGTTAGCTCACCTCTTTCCTGGCAGTGGCATATAATCTTCACTGATGCCCCAAGGAAGCTCAGCTCAGCCTGGCACCCTGCTCATTAGTCACCTGAGCATTGGGGCTTCTTGATGGTTTTTGCCAGCCATCTTTTTCTCCGATGGTAGCCTCCTGAGGTTCTGTTACCTGCTGTGACAGAATGATCCAGAAAGGTTTAGTTAGCAACAAACTAGCATTTTTGGAAGATGGCAATCTTATCTCTCCCTTCGGCCATCCTCCCCACTGCCTGGAGGTCGGGTTGTTTCTATGGGTTTTCATAAGGGAAGACAGTGTGAGAAGACATGTGAGCCCCAGACAGGTGGGCCTCTCTGTCACCCAGTATATCTTGGAGTACTCCCCTCCCCCCAAGCTGGTAGCCTCTTCTGGAATGGGCTGCTCACACCTAATCTCCTTCATGGACGTGGAGGAGAGTGGCCCTCCAGAAAGTCTGAAGACAGAAGGCCAAAGCCTCTGTGTTAACAAAAGAAATATGAGCCTGGTTTTTGTGTGGTCAGCGTTTTCTGGCAGGTGGCTCTTTTCTGGAACTTGGCACTAGGGTAGGCTTGGGTAAGGCAGGAAGATTTGTTCCTTTCTATATAACGTCAGTGTGCAGTCCAACTATTTGGTTTATTTTTTGTGTTTTGTCTTTCATTTTGAAACAAGAGTCTTCTGTAGCTCAGATTGGCCCCAGGCAGGTGATAGTCCCACCCCTTACCTCCCAGGCTTGCACCATCACTCTAAGTCAAACCCAGGGCTTCATGTGCACTAGACAAACACTCTATCTAGTGAGCCATATCTCTGGCCTTATTTATTTTTTATTTTTTGAGATAGAGTCTTGTGTTGCCCAGGCTGGTCTTGAACTTGCTATGTAGCCAAAGGTGGTTTTGAACTCTTGATTCTTCTGTCTCCACTTCCTAGGTGCTGGGATTAGAAGTTGAGTTACCAAATACAACTTGACAATTTTTTTAAAAAACTGATTATTTTTTAAAGAAAACTGTAGCTTAAGCTGGCCTTGAACTTGTGGTATCTAATTCCCTCAAACACTGCCCCCCCCAATACAGGGATTATGAGTGTGCACCGTCTTACTTAGCTTTTTGCTTTGTGTCTGTGGTGGGGTTTTCTGTGTCTTGTGGCTGTCCTGGAACTCAACATCTTTCTGCCTCAGCTTCCTGCATGCTGTGATTACAGGCATGTGCTGTTGTGCCTGGTTCCATGTTCAGTTTAGTAATAAAAGGTAGAACATGCAGGAGCACAGAGAACCCTCTGGAAACCAGATCTTCATGGAGGGGAACTTATGCAGTTTTATGATCTGAGAGGTGTAATGTCACTACAGGACTTCTGGCTACTCTGAACCCACTATAGCTTTCCACAGAGAACATGGACCAGCCCTCACTTTCTGGGGTTTGCATATTCTGTTCCCCTTGGCCTGCAATACTCCTTCCCTGGTTGCTCATTACTCTATGGAACTTAGGGTTTTTGTTTGTTTGTTTTGTTTTTCTGAGACAGAGTTTCTTTGTGTGGCTGTCCTGGAACTCGCTCTGTAGACCAAGCTGGTCTCAAACCTAGAGATCCACCTGCCTCTGCTCCCTGAGTGCTGGGATTAAAAGCGTGTGCCACTACCTCAGAACTCAGTTTTTATGTGACCTCCTCAGAGAAGCTCTGCGTTTGTCCCCTTGGCTGTGGGGTAATAGGAATCACCCCCCTTCCTGCTTGTTTGGTATGCCTTCCCCTTCTAGGCTACAAGGACAGATATCTGCTGTTCCTAGAGCCCTGCACGGGGCTGGGAGCGAAGCAGGTGCTCAAATATTTGTTGACTGGATCAGTTTGGCTTTAGCACAAGAGCTGCCCTGGCAGGGAAAGGGTACTGATGCATGTGATGCACTTTGCCAGATGAGAGAAGGGAAGGTCAGAGGTGTGGTAGAATTCATTACAGGTAACACCCATAAACTATAATCCCAGCCCCAGAGGCTGAGGCAAGAGGATCATGAGAGTGTGGCCAGCCTGGGCTATGTAGCAGGAACTTGTCTCAAAAAGACTTCCAGATGCCCTCTGGGGCATTATATAAACATACCTTTCTTTCTTTTTTATTTTATTTATTTTGATTTTTTTTTTCAAGACAGGGTTTCTCTGTAGTCTTGGCTGTCTTGGAACTCATTCTGTAGATCAGACTGGCCTAAGATCCACCAGTTTCTGCCTCCGAGTACTAGGATCAAAGGTGTGCACCACCACTGCCCAGCTGAGGCACTATATTGTTAAAAAGAATAGCAAGCATTGTGGAACATATCTATCATGTCAGTATTTGGGAGGCTGAGGCACGAAGACCATGAGTTCAAGGTTAGCTTGGGCTACACAGAAAAACCCTATCTCAAACACACACACACACACACACACACACACACACACACACACA